ATCTACGTTTATTCCTGTGTGCATACAAAGACGCAGACTCATTGTCCCACTAAAGGTAGGGGTGAGTAATAAGGAGGACAAAGTTGACGCTCAGTGTGTTGCCGGGAGCATAAGGTATTTATCCACATGTTAGAAATGTAAAAAAATATGTCTTGAGAACACGGCGTGCGGAAATATACGGGTCGTGCTGCAGCTAGATGTGCCTGTCCTCTGTAAGAAGGTGTAGGCGACTGACATGCAAGGAAGAACGGCTGTCCACAGGCTGTTCCAACTTTAACAACTGTATTAACTTCCAGGGTAGTGAATTGAACCTGCAATTGTAATTGGGTGTGTGGTATATTTTCATGCACGGACACGCATGTTCCACAACACACAAACTGAACAACACTCAATTTTCCGATCGCTACCAGCGTCCTTGCGATCTTGTTATAATAACAAGTGCACGTTACTGATGCAATATGGTTGAGACCATTCGGGCTTATTCTAGAGGGGTGCAAGGAATAGTCCAAGTAGTGGGGGAGTTTTATACAATATATTTAAAACATATAAATAAAAAGGTTTAAAAAAGTTATTGTTTAATGTTTTAAGGAGGTGACGCTACTCAGCCAATCAAATCGGTGCAGTCAGCACGATAGATTCAAACACAAACACAGAGACGAAGAGGAGAGAAACAGTCGGAGTAATTTCAAATGGCGGAAGGTAGACAGCGAAAACAGAGCATTTAATTACATTTTCTCTTACTGGACCTCTTTGAAATGCAATTGAATACCCCTGCATTATAGCAACAACAACAATAATAATAATAATAATAATAATAATAATAGCAATAATAATTGGGAGGGGGGGCGCGGCTGTTCTTATGTTCTCTGAGGGGAGGCTCACCTACCCACACTTTGAAAACCCCTGGCTAGAGCTTGTACTGGCATATGATTCGATTGGCTGACGCTTCCGCCGAAGCTTCAAAAGTTGAACATTGCTCAACTTTTGCAGCGAGCAACGGGAGCAAAGCTATGCTTCGCTCCCACAATGCAGTTCGGCGAAGCGTGACGTCAACCCCATTTAAAGTGAGTGGGCAGAGGCGTTGAAGCTTCAACGCACGCCGCTGTGTGGACGGGCCGAAGACTGCTTAATACCTGAGCTTGCACTATTTTTATTGTTTTGTCATGTATATATTTATGTTTTATTGTTGGAGGAGCCTGTGACCTAAGATTTTCATTGCACAACACTATACTACTGGGGTACTGCTGTTGACGGACGTGGCCTACCTCAGCTGCAGAGCTTGCTCCACACATATTTATTTAGATGTATTATTAGATTACAATCACATAACTAAAAAACTGACAAAGGATATTAAAACGTTTATTGTGCATATTACAATCCCTCCATACAATATGAGCAAACGGTATTGTTATATACTTAAAATGTATACACAATTACAATAAAAACATCTTTAAAAAACAAATATCTATATGCATATTATGTCCTTCAAGTATCTCTCAGGGAAAGGTGAGTGTTACTTGTACAGTTCCCTTTCCATAAATAACAAATATCATTACGCACACAACTCTGATGTAGTGGAATTTACATTTTAATCAAACAAGCAGAAGTACACTTTAATTGCATTCAGTTTCTATGGCAGCTTGTGTGTACATTTAGCCTATGTTTAAGTCCCTTAAGGATAAGGGACAGAGTCACATGTAAAGCAGTGTGTGGCCTCAACTGGCTGCAATGAAAGGACCCTTCATCGTTCTTGGGTAAGTACATGGTTACACACACTGTTTGAAATATTCAACTGACAATGCAATTATGACTGAAATGTTGTTTCTTTTTTTGAGCTAGCTTTAGCCAGATCATGTATATTCTTAAAGAGAGCTTCTCTCATATTTGTATAGAAATAGGTAGCTACTGGCTGATACAATTTGAACACCTCACATATTAATCAACACACCAAACAATGGAAATGGTCCCTGTTTAAAGTGAGAACAATCATTTACTTCTTTGGCATGATGACATATGCTGCGTTCAGGAAAAATGGGATGGATGGTATAGGGGAGAAGGATTTCCATGTTGACAACCTGGGAGTATTTACGTCATTAAAGCTACTTCTGGTTCTATTAGCCACAAACTTATCATTAAGCATAAACTTAGTTATATTCAAAGTTTTCCAAAAATACAAGTCTCCCTTTCACAAGTATGATTGTGGTGGAGAAATCATGGTGAATAAACCGGAAAAAGGCAACCCACTTTATCTTCAGTTCAACCAATGGAAATAAGTCTCAACTTCCTTTCCCTTGCATTTTCATGTCATTTATGCAAATCAATATTTCTTTAAGGGTTATTCAGTTTAGTTAATGTAATGGGTTGATATAAGTCTGCAGATGTGCTGTCACAGATGTTATGACCATGCTTTACTACAGTCTGTTTTGAGCATGATGACATCAGTAGACAGTAGCGCACGTATTAGCAGGACTGGAACGTTTCCCTGCGGCAGTCACACTGAGATTAAAGCTGGTAGTATGAATTTTTTTCCTACATGAAAATCTTTTGCACACAAAAGTTATAAACTCACTTAGAAGGTCTCTTTTGTACATGTGTGACTTGAAGTCTGAACGGCTAACTGAATTACAAACAGAGATATTCCCCTCAAGTTGTGTCTGGACACCATTTACACCACTGAGCTTTGAAACTCTCCTCTCCAGTGTCAGTTTGGGAGAAATAGCCTCCCTTTCCTCTCAGTAGCTGCTCTCATGTCCGGTGAGGATGTACAGGTTGCTCAGGGCTGAGGGCTCATCTGTTGGTGTGCTCTGAAGGATGATGTCCCTGCACAAGGTTAAGAAAAAAAGGAGGACAAATAACAATGCTAATTTAGGAAGCACAAATCACTCTTCAAGAAAACCGTATTCAAAGAATTAAAAACGATTTCTTGATCTTCATGATTCATTGTATCTTAGTTTATATTTTCTTTAACTCGACTGCTCCAAGTATTACTGCTGTTGTTTCATCAGTGAAGGATGTTGGTATTGTCACATTCGTATATTGTCAGTACCTGTTGGTTCCTAGAACTCTGAAAACTCGACTCTCATCTGTAATCTCTTGTGTAACCTGCAGATAAAGATGGAAACACATTTTTATAGACACAAATGTGACAAACACAGCTTAGGCCCAGAAGGCCTTACATCTTAAAGCGAGTCACCTCATTTGAATGAAAACTCCTCCCTTTAAGGCCATGCTTCCAGAAAGCCAGCACACTGTCCTGTAGGCAGACTGGGAGAAGATTTCAAGTCACTCATTGGTCAGCAGAAACAGGAAGTGTCACTGACTGTTTTACGCAGTATTGTTTTTACCTAGAGTCTCGATTGGGAAGTCAAAGAGCATCTCAGCTGCCAGCTCTTTGGATGGGAACCCTCGCAGGTTCACTATCTTTACAGTTTCTGCACCACGAGACCAAGAGACAGAACATTAAGAATCGGTATGATGGATTTTGAACGTGTTGAGAGGGAAAGACTTACTTTCTAGCGCGATGAGGACAGTGTCTCTGTCCATCTGGGTGACCTGCACGGCCCCCAGTGCTCCACTGTCTGCAGACACACAGACAAGAGTCAGACTCAGCTTTACAGGGACAGCAGGACAGACTGAGGGGGGTTCATCTCAGTTACTCCTCCATAGTACAAAAGTATACTTTTATTACAAGAAGTGAAAAGTACTCATTCCGCACATTGGTACAGTATATATAAGTATAGAAGAGTACAGAGGACACAATCATTATCAGATAAATGTACTTCAAGTATCAATAGTAAAAGTACTCATTATGCAGAATGGGTCTTTTCACAGTATTATATTACTATGGTTATCATAATATCCTTTTTTTCATACATTTGAGTATTGTAGTTTATCAATATGGACCACATCTAAATACCAAATACCGTGTAAATCAGGAGTACTTGACTGCATTATACGTAACTGTGAGTGATAAATAAATGTAGTGGAGTAAAAAGTATGATATTTGTCTCTGAAATGTAGCGGTACAAGTATAAAGTAGCAGTACATTTAAAAACTCAAGTAAAGTACAAATATTTCAAAAAAGTACACAACTGCAATACTTGAGTAAATGTACTTAGTTACTTTCCACCGCTGACAAGCAGCTGTGGACGGTGGTGAGCATCAAAATGTATTTTAGCAATCTGAAATAAATCAGTTTATCTGTATCAAGTATATCTTGTTTAGTACATTTCTACAGTTTTACCTTGCTGTTCCTATGTGTGATTGATCATGTTTGAAATAAGAGTTTACACTATTGTTTTGATTTTATGTCCCCTATTTTCATAAATAAAGTCTATTAATCCACCTATTATTTTGTAACCACTTCTTAAGTCACAAAATCAGAAACAGAAGATACCTCAGATAACCTACTTGTATAGAAGCGTGAACAGAGACAGCCTTCCTACCTGGAGCTGAAGTGGGCGTGCTGTTCAGCTCGATTATGTCGAACTGCAGCTGCTGGCTGTGCGGCCTCTTCCCATTGCTACAGTCCCTCACCCCCACACACAGCTGGGGGAACTCATCGGACACCAAGACCAGCAGCTCGAATATCTGCAGGGAGTCAGGCAGCTTCATCGCTATGTGCTGCACGGAACACAGAGGAAGAGGAAGGTTAGATGAAGATAGAGAGGAATGGGATTCATTCAAGGTTTTAAAGTGGGACATTAGATTGAAAGGTTTAAAGGCTTTATTGTAATAAGCACAGTAGCTACAGTTTAGCTATGGCAGTGGAAATCTTACGTTCCAGGCTCCTTAAACAATGCAACATCAGCATATATATAAGACATGTTAGAATTCTTTACAAAAAAAATAACAATAAGATAGTGCAAGAAGAAACAAATTAGAACAAAATAGTGTAAGATTATCCTTCAAGACCAATGTGCAATGTAACCCCCTAACACAATAAATTGCAGAGAATGTAGAATAAGATTTAAAAAAATAAAAAAGTCATTTAAATATGCCTTGTATGCCTTTGTCTGAATGTCTTTCATTTTTGTAAAGCACCTTGAATTGCCTTGTGTTGAAAGGTGCTATATAAATACATTTGTCTTGCCTTACATTACTTGTTAGACGCTTATATCCAAAGCGACTAACATACTCAATACTGTGGGCAATCCGCACAGGAGCAATTTGGGGTGAAGTGTCTCAGGGACACAACGACATGCTGACTGCAGTGGGGTTTGAACCTGTGACCATCTGATCCCAACACCAACGCACAACCCACTGCACCACACGCCTCCCTTATATCAGGCAATCCCTGGAGAAACTATAGGAAGGTGGCATTTATTAATAATTATTTGACTGTATTAAGTACTTAAATTGTAAGTACAATTTTGAAGTACTTATGCTTTACTTGAGTATTTCCATTTAATTATACTTTGCATTTTTACTCAAAGTTGTACTTACAAATAAAAAGGTAAATAATGTAATTTCACTCCACTACATTTATTATTTAATGTTTTATTTATTAAGCTTAAGTGACTTTTCAGATTAAAATGGTTTTGCTACTTTTATATCAGTAAATCTAAATACTTCCTCCAACTCGCATCATAATCCAGTCATTTTATATTCATGATTCTGAAATGGGCCTTGAGCATAATGAGTACTTTTACTTTTGGTAATCAAAGTATAATTCGATCTTGATACTTTTGCACTTTTATGTAGTATTGCTGCTTTTACTTAAGTACTTTTCCAACACTGCCTTAGTTGTTCTTTTCTACATATTGCACAAAGACGAATGCATGAAGCACTTTCTTGGTCTGAAAGCAGTACAGACCTTGAGATGCATGAACTTCTGCAGCGGCTCGTACCAGAGCAGCAGCACCAGGCCGGAGGGCACCGCCCCGCAGAGGAACGTGCTGTCAGTGTACGGGTTCCTGGCTGAGACAAGGGGGCGGGGGGGGGTCTGTTGGTGTCACTGAATAATCACAGAGAGCATCTGAAGCGTGCAACACTTACCTACACTACACCTCTTGCAGCCTTTAGTGTCGGGGATCTTCACAGATATCGCGAACTTTCTGTAGATTCAGAGAGAAAACACAGTTTAGTAAAAGAACAACTTAATACACTGTATCTGTTTATTCCAAATATCTACATATTCAAATACTATTACAGTATACAGAACATATTCTGCTGTGTTTGATTCTGCATTCGGTTTTATCTTGTTTTTTTATATGTATGTTTTTTTTCTTATTCCTGCATTCAATAGCACCATTATATATTTTATTATTAAATGTTTAAAGCTACCCAGCATTACTGACTATAATAAAATAATTTAATATGATTCTGAGATGGGCCGTACTGCATACCGGGTACTTCGAAGTTTGGCAATGTAAGTATATTTAATGATTCATATTTTAATTTTAATTTTGAATTCAGGAGGTTTACTTTAACTTAGCATTTTACGCTGTAGTTTTGTTATTTGATTTAAATTTTATACAAACAGGAAAGTGTCATGAGATTAAAAATCTCGTTTGCAAGATTCCTGTTACTTCTACTTAAGTAACAAAATCAGAGTGCATTTAAAAAAGTATAGTACAAATAATCAGTGATGGTGTCAACAGCTCTATCATTACATCTTAACACAGTGTCACTAATATCCAGGGCTGGGAGGGTTACTTTAAAAATGTATTCCTTTACAATGACTAATTTCCTGTAAAAAAATATGTAATGTGTAATCTGACGATTTTCTGTTACTTTAAGATAATCAGAAATCTGTTCCCCCACACCACTGCCCTCCCACAAACACAAACTGTACATTCAGTAGATGGCAATATTTTATGTTTTTTATTTTCTCTTTATTTATTTGCAATGCATTTGATATTAAGGGAACCCAAAAGGAACAGAAAGTAATCAGGCTACACTACTTTTATATTTTGATACTCAGATTAGGTTACTGATTCCTTTTTTCCCATGTAAATTGTAACAGATTACATTTTTAAAGTAACCCCCCTAACCCAGCCAGGTCCATGTCCTCCTGCTGGTATACCTGGAGCTGATCCTCTCTGTGAAGCGGCTGGTGTTCAGGGAAAGGCTGCTGGTCTTCTTCTGCAGAGCTCCTCTCTGCTCGAACAGGGCCGGCAGGCTGTGGGAGAACAGCTGGGAGGACTTCCCTGCAGGAGACAGACTTTCTTAGAGCGGGGACAACATGTCTTACTGTCCTCTGAGCACAGAGAGGAGTTACCTGAGACAGACATCAGCACGTTGTTCATCACGTACAGCCAGGTGCAGCGCTGAGGCAGCATCTGTGGGGGGAAAAACAGAGATCGGACCTTTCCTGAGAAATATCATTCCTGGTCATATCTCCAGTCTGGGTGGCTTGTTGTCTCAAAAGTAGGGCAAGGCAATAGGGGAAAAATCTAATAGCAATATATTTTCTTTAAAACACCTCTCAATATAGTAGGGTAAATGGACTGTACTTATATTGCGCTTTATCCAGTCTTTAAGACCCCTCAAAGCGCTTTACATGTTTTTGAAACTTTTTTTGAGCCACGCTACACAGCACACCAACAACCAAAAAAATGATATTTGGGGACATTTATAAATGTATGCTCAAGAACTCTTGTATTTGCGGTAAATCACTTTTTTCAATTATCTTTCGGCCAATAACTGTTGTAACAATTGACGGTTTTCATGGTTCAAAAACTGACATCCATAGAAAGGTTAGGTCTCATTGTCAGCAGGGGCATCTGCAGATTAATTCCACACCAGATATGTTATGATATTCGCAGGTTAGGCACATCTGAGATGTCATCTGTTCCTCTATCTTCCTCTATAAGGCAGCTAGCAAGGGCAATTGAGTAGATTGACAAGATTCAACTCTTCTAAAGTCCCTAGCTGAGGCCTTTGTGTTCTTTCCTTACCTTCTCTAATGTATCTTCATGAAGTTCATTCAGGTTCAGTGTGTAGATGCCTTCCTCTGCCCCAAGAATGAGGTACTGATCTAAGAAGGAAAAGTGTTTAAAGGGGGAATTATTTCCATCATTTCATTGATCTTGGTGTTACTTTTACAGTTGCTTTATTGTGTTTGGAAGTACATCCGTTGGAGACACAGGACATGACTGTCTCACCTCTTGTCTTTGGTAAAATCCATGTGACAGCACAGTGGATTTTAAGAGGACAGCCGTTGAAGACTTTGGAGAAGCAGGCTCCCATCTACAGAACCAGAGAGCAGCTGATCACTGAGGGTCCGACATGTGAATGCTGACACCTCCATTTACGAAATCCATTCTCGCCAAAAAAGCATGCATGATTATGACAAGTATTATATCACCAGGCTTGGGGAGTAATGGATTACATGATCAACTGTTTCGCTTATTCCATGGTGAATAATACAAATTAAAAAACGCACTTAAGAGTTTTACTCATGCAGCAGCACTTACAATGGTCTGGCTTGTTCGAAGTAAATATGTTGGCACTCATCTTGTTGTCTTTAGTTTGAATCTTGATGGTTTATTGCACTTTTTATAAATCTTTGGATTAAGGCACATGTGTCGAACTCAAGGCCCGGGGGCCAAATCAGGCCCTTGGTGGATTTAATTTCGGCCCGCAGGATAATTTCTAATTACTATTAGATCTGGCCACCGGTATATTGCACGCACACCTTCACTCCATCCTGAGGGTTTCCTCAGCTCAGAGCCTGAGCCCACACATTGATGAGCTTGCACCCAAGACGAGATGCCAAGTATCTGGCTTGAACTAGCATCACAAAGCAGCACACTGAGTTTACATGGATGTTTCCTTCTGCACTTGAGACAACAGGGGATGTTTGGTTTGTTCTTTGAGGGAAATGTTGAAGCTGTTGTTGGCCTGTGGAAAAACCTAATCATAAGAAATGACTCTGGAAAAGCTGCAGATAGAGCCATAAGAAATGAATGCAACCGATTATTTAATGTTTAATGTTGTTTTTATTGGCAATAATTGAAGCTTTGTTAGTTCCAGGTTTTTATATGTGCAATAAATTCATTTCAATACGTTTTGCAATAAACATTGAACCAGTCCGGCCCTCGACTTGTACCCATTTTTTTATTTTGGCCCACTGTGTATTTGAGTTTGACACCCCTGGATTAAGGTGTCAGCTAAATGCTATGTAATGTAATAGGATTACGTAATCAGGATATGAAAAAAGGGTAACTGTATTCCCTTAGTTACATAAAGAAATATGTAATCAGATTACTGTTACATTTAAAAAAAAAAATGGGGATTAATAGTATGTTGCTTTCATTGAGACTACTTTCAGGCTTCTTTATTTTAAATGTACAAAGTGGATTTATCAAACCAAAAATCTGTAATAACACATGACACATTTCTGATCCTAAATATCTCAGTTTCTTCTTTTCTAAGGTTACATTGTTCTGTTGTCTTACATAATACACTTCAGCAAAAAACATCTTTTTGGTATTGCATTTGATATTGAGGTTATCCAAATGTAATAGAAAGAAATCAGGTTACATTACTTTTATAATGAGATACTCAGATTAGGTTAGTGATTACATGTAACTACCAATTGTAAGGGAATACATTTTAAAAGAAACCCTCCCAACCCTCTATATAATGTATTATATATGTTACATATCATTTTTTATTTTAGTATCCTCGTGTGAATCTGTACTGTCCTGTTTTTCACTCTGACTCTGTTACTGCTTTAAACTCTTGAATGTGTGATGCATAAAGGTCTATCTTATCTTATTAAAAGTTGCACTAGGATATACTACTCCAAATATACCACGCAGCATCTGGACGATGAAGTTTCCAAATATACAGAATACCTGCATTTAGTGGAAACAAAGACATCCAAACATATGTGACAAAACAGTGCAGCGATAAAAAGGTCTTTAAACAAAATGTGTTCCTAGTGCAGCTCGTTCATGCCATGCGAGGAAGCTGATCATGTTAATCCATTGGTTTGATTTTTGGTCACATGCTGTTAGATTTCACACTTACATGGACTTGAGGGGTAGGAGGAAGTCCATGACAATCAGCCCTCTAGAAAGGTCAAAGGTTACAAACACACAAAACATAGGGGATGATAAAAACTGTAAATCAGATGCATTAAAAAAATCAAGATCTTGTTTGGTTGCGTGATTTGTCACCATTAGACACACATGAGGAAGTTATTATGTTAGCAGATCACACAGCTTATTGAGGTGGTCCTACAGATATGGAGTCCACTCACAGCGTCCTCAGTTCTTTTCCGCAGCGTGCTCCACTCGGGGGACAGCTGCGTCTCTTTTCTCGAGGAGGAATCAGTGGAGACTTTCCGATTCTCCCCTTCAGTCGGAGCGCCCCCCCCAGGCAGACACGGGTCACTGCAGCGCTGCCTGATGTCCTGCGTGGCCGAGCACCTGGCCAACACTGGGGAACACAGGAGAGGAACAGGAAGTGATGTCAGGAGCTTTGACCCGCCCTGGGAAGGGTCTCAGTCACAGTTAAGATCTCAGACTTTGCAAAACAACCTTGTTTTTCTTAGTTACTGAAAGGTCTATATTTCTTTAGTGAGTTTAAAGTTATTTTACCAGTGGTGGAAAGTACCTAAGCACATTAACTCAAGTACTGTACTCTATTACACATTTGAGGGTGGTGAAAACTGCACAGCACATCACCAGGACGGAGCTGCCATCCATGGAGGACCTTTACTCCCAGCGGCTCAGGAAGAAAGCCCTCAGGATTATAAAAGACCCCCATCACCCCAGCCTCAAACTGTTCAGTCTGCTGCCATCTGGCAGGCGGTGCGCAGCATCCGGACTAAAACCACCAGACTCAGGGACAGCTTCATCCCACAGGCAATAAGACTGTTAAACACCTGAACTGCAATTTCACAACATTCATCTGCTACTTAGTAATTATGTATCTATTATCTAATAACTTGTATATAGACTCGTATTGCACTATTCCACTTTTTTTTGTTTTTAAACTATTTTTGTTTTTTGTATTACTTTTAATATAATATACTTTAATATTGTTTTAATATTGTCTGCTTATCTGTATTATTGTGTTGCATTGTTGGAGAAGCCTATGTCCTAAGATTTTCAACAAGATAATTACTCTGTAACTATGTTAGTTTGACAATAAAGAACCTTGAACCTTGAGGTACTTTAGTTTTCCCAACTATTTTCATTTTGTACTAGTTTATACTTACTCAACTACAACTTGAAAGCACATTTTACCCCATTACATTTATTACAAATGTATTTACTAGTTACTTAATACATTCAGATTTTGACACACAATACTTAAGAAAATATTTTTATTATATATATATATATATATATATATTATTTGGTATAGATCAAACCATCCAACATTATGTTTAAGTAACTAAAACCATGAGTCGGTTATCAGAAAATGAATTTGTAGCAATTTTGCCAAGTCGCAATGAGTAGTTCTCCTTCTCCTAATACTTCAAGTACATGTTCCTAAACCTTTACTACATAGATGAATAATATTAAGTTTGAATAAAAAAAAATGAGGTTCAACTTAATATTATTGCTTTCAACTAATACAGTAATGTGGAACCTGTTAATATAGTATATTTAATTAAAGTCATGTTTAATTTGTTCTGTGTCGTTGGTTGATTATTTCAATGCAATGCATGCAACGCGCTTTGGGCTTTGGGCTTTTTGGGCGCAAGGAGCTCTAGAAATGAGTAAAGCTGACTGAGTACTGATGGAGTGACAGTGAGGTACCTGTGGGAGAGGGGGCGTCAGCAGCGATGGCAGCCTCAGGTCCCAGGGTGCAGCTGGGTCTCAGCGTCAGGTCGCTCTCCTCTGCTCTGGGACTCAGAGAGCTGAAGGCCGGCAGCGAGGCTGTGGAGGGGCCGAACAGACCACTCCTCCTGCCCCCCTGAAACATAGCAGCACACATGAAACACTCTGGAATGGGGGGTCATGGTGGGTCTGTCTGCTTGTCTCACCTTGTGGGACAACTGCATACTGTACACTGACACTACAAAGTGTTCACCGTGTGTTATAATGTTGATAAGTCTGTAGTGAGGGCATCGTCATAACGTCAGTAGGACTGTCATTTTTAAGAGTTTGTGTCTTTATGATTGAATGCACTTATTGTAAGTGGATTTGGAAGTAACTAAATCCACTTACAGGTGTAAATAAACGAGGATATGGAACTTCACTGGGAGTAGCCATGGTAAGGGACTTGGAGAATGACTTGGACATGTACAGTTGCAAGACTTGACTCCTGAACACTGGGAACTTTACTTGGATTTGACTGCTGTGAGACTTGTTTTACACCAGACAAGACTCTCTATACGCCTGAGTCGATTTAACCCTTAAATATCTACATATCTACCCTGAAGGACTAGAGACTTGTTCGGATAAGACAAATCAAATCTGCAGACTTGGACTTCCAGTCAGACTTGGGTCAGAAAAAATAGCACTTGCAGAGTCACTTGGGTCCTTAATCCCCAAAGACTTGATTTTGAGAATGTGTGCTTAAAGACTTGAGACTCGGACATGAGTGCAGAAAAAGCAGATACAGACTTGGAAGTTAAACTATTCAAGTTTTGTGTTTTTTCCCTAAAGGCCTTAAGATCTGAACTTGATTGGAGAAGACTTGAGACTTGAGTTATGCCTCGTGCAAAAAATAATTTGAGCATCACTTGAGTAAGACTTGACTCCTAAGACTTGACCAGGAACTCGAAACAACAAC